CCCCCCAGAACACAGACCACCGCATTCCTCCCACCTTTCCCTTGATGCTGAGGCCGCCCGTGTCATAGACGATCCCCTTCCCCACCCAGGCGATGGTCTGTGTGGCGCCCTCTGGAGTGTGAGAGAGAACTGCCAGGGCAGGGGGGTACTCAGCCGCCTTCCCCACGCCGTAGATCCCTGTAAATCAAAGAAAAGAAACACGGACTCGCGCGCTGTCGACCACATGACCGCACGCTCAACGCATAGCGGCACAGTGCATTTTGGTATACATACAGTATAAACTGCAGGCTCCTATCCTCAAGTAGGGCCCTGTGAAATGTAAATCACAGACTCTGTATTTCCTGTCAATTTAAGGGTAAAAGTATAATTATCATGGGAAATACCTGCATGATTAATAAAAGGCTCATGTTCCAGTACTATGAAAAACGGCTCCTTAGAGGAAGGGAATCTGATGGCGGTGGCACCCACTGCCGACCAGAGCACAGCTGAGCTGCCCACAGTTGCCCTTTGCCGCTGATGTCTTGCCCTCAGGGTTCTGTGCTGACATCACCTTGGACACGGCTGCTCATGAAACATGAGCATGCTGAGCTGTCTTGGTCACTTAAGCTCCTGCCCCAACAGCAGCCATGCCAGGCTATAATTACAGGCAACCAGGACAGTCCAGCAATCTCATGCAAGACACTTAGCAAGCTAGGATGTTATTTTCCTAATAAGGCCTAAGCCACACCTGTGTAAAAGCCACTGGTGTCCCTTATTTACCTAGTCTTTTGTCCACTATCTGTAACTACCTGTGCACAAACCATCAGGAAACACTTTTGCACCACTAAAGCGCCCATCAAATGCACAGTGCAGGGTAAGAGCACCACAGCTGACAGCCGCTGCGGTTGTGAAACTTCCTGTCTGTGTTCTTGCCCATCTGACAAGCGCCCGGCAAAGAGGAAGTGGCTTGTGCCTAAATCCAGGTGGATCTGCATTTCTGCGGTGAACACAAAGCCTACCAAGGAGAACAGCGACCGGGGTCTTGAGCTCACGCCCCCATAAAAGGGGGGAGGGCATTCCCTTCTTTACCTCCGAATCCCTTCTCTCTGAGCTCCTCTCCGCGGATGATCACAGGAACGATCCGCAGCTCATTACCGACTGCCTTGATCTCCTGCAGTGTGGGGTAAAAAGGAAAACGAGAAAAGGAGATACTGATACAGCTATAAAGGAAAACAAAATGGGTGCCCCAGCAAATTTATCCATTTTCAGCATCTACAAGTTACAGGCAGTCAGTACCACATATATAGTTCCTCTGCCAAATAACAGCATGCTATGGACAGCTATTACGAGCGCTAAGCAGAGGGGTATGCGATAAGGGGGTAAGTATATAGGACAACAGTATATTGAGTAATTTAACTGCACATCTGTCTATGATGACTACGGTAGGCTGGGGACTCTAGAGCAGCTCACACACCTAGCAGGCTCCCACGTGTGAGCAGGCCCTGCTCTTACCTCCAGGAAGTGATCCGTGTTCATCTCGTTGCAGGGCGTGTCCACGATGCGCGCGGCCAGCCGCACGCCGTCCGCCGTGCTGGACAGGCACTGGAGAGGGGGAGGGAGCACGGGGCAGCGGTCAGCGCACCGCCGTTAACAGTCACACGACACAGCAGTGCGGGGAAACATGCAGCGACGTTAAAAACAACCCTGGTTCCCTGAACTGGCTCCATCCCTCTGCTCTCCTCCCCACTGAGAGCTGGTGCATGGGGAGCGGACTGGCGCATCATCCAGGTGGGGCTGCACACTGGTGGTGGCAGTGGGATTTCTCATTACCCGTAAAGCGCTCTGAGTGGTGTCCAGAAAAGCGCTATGTAAGTGTAAGTAATTAATTCTTAGTAATTAATTAATTATATTCCATAACCCCACAGAGAAAGGAAAACGCTTGACTTGGAGCCAATATCACGTTCCGGATCAACAGAGGAGCAGACGACTGTAACTCTTCTATGGGGACCTGCATTCAAATCGGGGAAGAGAAGACCTTCCAAACAAGTACAAGCAGAGGTCTAATGATCTCAGCTAAGGCCGCAAGTAAGTCACTGAACGCTCAGGCACACAAGGGTCGGTGACAGGGGGCACCCCTCTGTCCAGCAGGCAGAAGGACGGTTCATTCCACAGGCAGCTCACCTCCAGGGTGCCCAGATCCAGCGGCCCGTTGTCCTCGCCCACCGTCACGAACTCCACGACCACCAGCCGCTTGTCCGCCCTGCGGGAGGCGCTGGAGCGGCGCGAGAAGAGAGGGAAGGCGCGGGCGACGGCGCAGGCCGAGGCGAACACCTCCGAGCGCTCGCACACCACCTGCGGGGGGAGACGGGGCACGGCGGCCGGCGGCGGCCTCGTCAGACCCCAGCGCGGAGCGAGAGGAACGGGCAGAGACGGAGGGCAAACAAGCAAAGAGCGCCGGCCAACAAGAGATGCAGACAGAGGGAAGACCGAACTAGAAGAAAGGTCACAAACGAAGGGGAGGCCATTCTGGAGCCCACCGCGCTCACACGGCTGACCCCTCAAAACCGGTCCACGGATCTATCCGTCCACTTCTTGGAGGATCCCAAGGAACTGGCACGAGCTGAGCGGCTTCTGACCTCGGCGGACCTTTCAGGGCCTCCCGATCCCCGTGACCCTCGGTTCGGAGAGTAAATGCCGCCCGGATGAGCGAGATCCCCCCCCCCCGAGGCGCGAACCGAGGGGGGTCACCGCGGGAGAGACGCAGACAGAGGGAGAGGGAGAGGGGGAGGGGGAGAACTCACCACGATGCAGCGACTGGCGCCCCCCGGCAGGCAGCTGCGCACCAGGCGGGTGAGGAAGTGGGCGGCAGAGGGGCTGTTGTGCCGGCTGACTCGGGAGGGCAGGGCCGCCACGCTGGCGTAGCTCAGGTACAGCGGGCAGCTGTCCGTGGGGTTGGGGTTCAAGGCGCTGAGAGCCGACTGCCAGGTCTGCACGGGGTCCGGGGTGGAGGGTGGGGGTGGAAGGCGGATGGGGGGAAAAAAAACATCACAGCATCACGGCCTTGAGCGCTGTTAAAACAGCCCAAAACTGCAAAACCAAGACCCCGCTGGCCCGAACAGAGAAGACCGCGAGGGGGAACCTGATACAAGGATTCGAAATATCCCAAGGCACTGACAAAAATCCACCCGGCAGACATCTTCGGAGCGAGCAGCGCAAGACCAAGGCCAGCAACGACGAGGAAGTGTTTTGAAAAGCCGAGAACACAAGGCCCATCTTTACTCAAGGGTTGCGGGAGCAGGGAACAAGCTACCCAGTCGGTGGTGTTGGAGCGGACACCCAGGTTTCTTTGCAGGAACGGCTGGATGGGTTGCTCTGCCGAGCTGTGTGTGCGTCAAGGAGGTGGGACTCTGGAGGAGCGCTTATCACTGCACCTTGATCTCAGACGCGTGACCTGGGTACAGCGAGCCTTCCCCGCTAACCCTCGTCCCAGCAGAGCGTGCGGAAAGAGAGACATTTCCCCCCAAATGCACAGAAACCACTACCTCCACCCTCTTCCAGGCGACCAGCAGGGATCTGTTAACCAGGACATAATGAGGAGAGCAGGCCCTGTCAGGTAATTCAATTAGACCGATTCAGCCCTTCACAGGCGGACTGGAAAAAAATCTAGAGGTGAGAGGTAGCGTTTTTAACACTTTGCCCAGTTCTCTCCCATTGGATTGTGGGTCTCGATTTGCGACACAAAATAAATCTGAATAAAGTTTTTTAAAACGGAATCTGAGTCACCGTTCCTCTTCTAGGGCTGCAGTTGGTCATTTTGCTGCTAACTAAAGACGTGGGGGGGGTTGGCTGAGATCGGCAATGATTCTACCAACATTTCCTGTGATACACAGCGCAGAGATTAAACCAAAACAGAAAAACATATCTGTGAATGAAGCGGTTAGTTTCAACCAAAACCAGCACACCACTTCTGATCTTAACTGGATGGACACCTTACAGGAAAAAGGTTAGATTTCAGAGCAAATCGACCAATTCCATTTTTTAATTCAGACAGTAGCACCTTAGACGAACTGCACGTGTGATGCTACAGTAATTTCATTTATATTACGGTACATATCTGTCCATGCAAATTTGCTCCACCTGAAGTTTAAATACGCGGCAGACTAAATGAGCCACTAGACTTTAAAATCTGACAGCAGACACAAATTCTCCCGAGTTCAATTTTAAAAGGCGAAAAGGATAAGTGTGCGTTTGTATATGTTAAAAACTACAGTCACGGTTAGCCATCTGATGTTATTAACGAAATGCAAAGCGTTTTTAAAAAAAAAAAAAGAACGGAAAAAAAAAACCCACGACAGTTCAACTACAAGGTGTAGGTGGGCGGATTCTGATTTGTAATTTTATTGCCAACTTGACTAGTACACGCCTGTGCAAAATGAAAGAAAAAAAAAACAACTAAAATCTCAGTCGTGTGTTAAAATACAAGTCTCATCTCCATTCGCCAGTCTCTCCGACAATAACATCTAGCACATCGGGTCCAGGGCATTTTGGACCGGCGGTTCTGACTTATTTCCTTATTTATCGCCGCTGTTGCACTTTGATACCGCAGTGAAAGTGAGGAGAGAAAGCTCGAATTGTTTCGCAGCGGTTTAATGACCCACTTGCAATCCGTTCGCACAGCGCTCATTACAAAGGCCTTTACCTCTTTGGAGACGGTGGGCTGCAGCTTCCCCTTCACCTCAGCCCAGGTAACCTGCTGCAGGTTGGCCAGCCGGCCCACGACCAACACCGGGCGGCTCTGGGGCTCCGAGTCGCCCGCTGCCGCCTTGAACTCCAGCACGACGTTCGCCATCTTTGCGCCGAGACGGGAGGAGGAGGCAGGAGGGCGCTGCGTCGTGACCTCCGCTCGGGTCTCTTCCCCCGTCCCAGGGTGCCCCTCTCTCGCGAGCGCGAGCCGCCTGCCGCCGCTCCTAGAGGCGCGATAGGGGCCTTCCACCCGACATCCGGCCGGCGGCCATGTTGGGGAGGTGGGAGGGTGTCAGGCGCTCGCCTGGAACAGGAGCCGCAGGCCCTCCCAGGCATAATCCCGACAACAGACAGAAGGGCGGACGGGAGGCACACAGGACAGCGATAAGGATAGAATGAGTTGTAACACACCGCTCGAGCAATCTGGGTTTAGAGATCCTGAAAATATAAAATGCCCCCGCAGCAGGATTCTCTCCAGATAATTAAGGAAAACGGCTATGAAAGAGTCATGTCAGTAGGGGGCAGTGGGCTCACTGATCTTAAGGAATGCGAGCAGACATTAGTTCTTAAGGGCTGGCCGCTTTTCTCCTTCACCGAGAGAGCGGCGCTTGGCTTCAGCCGAGGTTTGACAGAGGAAGTCGTCTTTGCACGTCTGCCGGAAGGAGAGGAAGTCTGGCAACACTTTGCGATTCCTGCATTACCTTAAAGCAAACCTGTTATTTATGCACAGAGCTTTTTTTACTTCTCGTGTTGAAACTCTTGACCGGTTAATCGGAGGTCCTCTGTCGATACGCTAGTTTGCCTTTCGGGGCGTGATGCATGATGGTAATCGAAGTTTTCCAAGTCAGCCCTTTTGTACCGTAATTTCTAAAAACAACAAATACACGACTCTACACAATATCGGAACATTCTCTGTAGCCCATAATGTGATCTCCATTGACACAGATGAAAAAAGCAAATTTATTTTTTTTCAGTCCAGTTGGGTTCACAATGGTTTATAATATGCACCAACTATTTTGCACGATGTTCTGTTTCCCGACTTCTGTAACTCCTCTCACTTGCCCAGACACAAGGACAACCAAAAGATTTTCAAACTGCATTATATACCTCGTCACACAAAAAAATCACTTCGCGAAAGAAATGAATACAGTAGTTTTCAGGGGAATTAAATGAGCTCAACACCCAGCCTTCTTACAGAACGCACGACGACAACTTTACAGTTTTGACGAGGCAGACGAGATCTTGTGTTGCTTCACAGCGGAAACAAAACAAAATGAACACGCCGTTTAAAAAAAAAAAAAAAACTTCTGTTTGCTGCTGCACAGCGACACCAGGCACAGCAACTGGACTGGGGCAACGGACTACAATTGTTACCCTTCCCAGATCCAAATCAGAGCGCCCAAGCCCTTCTCTGGTCCGACCCAAGACTGCGTTCAGAGGCGGTGTGTTAGACGAAGGTAAAGAAAGGACAGGTCGATTTTTTTTTTTTTAATTTCAGCAGGTTTTAAAATTTATTTACATTTTGTATATAGAAGTAAAAACAGTCTGCACATCAGCATGTATTGTTCACGGAAATGTCAGTGACTTTGGTGACAACGTCCCGCGTGAGGGGGGCAGCGTGCAGCCAAAAGGCTGGAACTCATGATTAAAGCTTTTCTCGGCTCAGGGTTGGCCACACCTCTGCAGAAACGGGAGACAGCCCCAAGCCCTGCGCCACAATACATTATTTGTCGGGGTGGGTAGAACCGTTTTCAACATGCACACGTGGAATTACAGAGCACAGGCTAGGCTGAATTTGCCCAGACCTTAAAAACCGTCCCCGTGGCTTGCATCTGGAAAGCAGTCTGACCTCGTTCACTGGAACAATAAGCCGAGGGAGGTGCCCAGCCCTGGCCTCCCTGGGCCCTCTCCCAGGTGGTCCGGAGTGGCACGACCCCCTACAGGCAATCGCTCCAAGTGTGGGGCGAACCCCAAAGCTCAGACATCGCTGGTTCCCGGGCCAGGGGTGAGACGGGGCGAACACCGATCTCCGGATCTCCCTGCGGGGTCGCTGTCGCCCAGCAGGTCACGGCTGTCGCAGGCCGACCAGGGCGCCGGGCCCTACTAACCCCCACCCTGCCCCGCCAGCGCTCTCCCAGCTGCCAGCCACTGCTTGGGGAAACTCTAGCTGGTGACGCCCTGGCTCGAACCCGCAACATCTGGGCCATGGGGTTCTCCCTGCACTCCGACCTGGTGCCTACAGTACGAGCCACTCAGGAGCAGGTCCCTCGTTTTCTACTTTAATTTAAAAAAAAAAATAATAAAAAGGACTGAACCGTACCCTCGTCAGAAGACATGGATCTCGGACAATGCATCGTCTCGAGAGCCTTAACAACCTACTTAGCCATCTTTTTACGTCTATATCAAAAAAGTGCATCTGGTCACATTCACAAACCTCCAGAGTACAAGAACTCCGCTGACAAACAGCAACACAGGGACACAAAGAGCTTGCTTGAGCCGAATGAGACAACACCAAGGTCAAAGATGCAATCAACTGCACTGCACTGTTCACAAGGGAAGAGAATGGGCTGAAGCTGGGAACTCTGATCTGTCAAATGGAATCTTATCATTTTAACCACAGTTTAAACATCCTCAGTTGCCAAGTTCTTTGATACAGAAAAACACGTTTGAGAAACTGGAGGGAAAAACAGATCAGAAGATAACTTTGATATAAGCCACAATATGTTTGGAAAACGCACCTGTCACACAGCAACCGTACAAATAAGTGTCTCTAGAACACTGTACTTTAGAGCCTAAATGAAAAATGTAGTTAAGTACATCAGGGGTGATTTTACTCCACGTTCTTTAACTGTAAGTAGTGTTTCTCTTTTAAGAAAGAACAATGCTTAAATACAGATTAAAATAAAAATCTCTCTCAACATTAGGCCCTGTGCTTGTTTACACGTCGGTTTTCACTTGATCACAGACATCAAAAACAAAAAGTCTCCATTTACATCATTTTCTTTACTTTTTAAACCTCAAATAAATAGATTATATTATCTGTAGAAGAGCAGGCAGACTTGCCAAGCAGAATCCACTTGCTCTCAGAATCTCTGTGCAAGAGCTGCGGTTGCTATGGAGATGTTGAAGTGGGAGGGGCACTGGACAGAAAGGACCAATGGCATTGAGCAGGTTAAAAACAAAAGTGCAGGGGAGGCAGAGCCAGGCATGACAAGGCCAAGCAAGCTGAAGGCGTGTTTTACAAGGCAGACAAATTCATTTACTACCAGCAAGAGGGTCAACCCATGGGAAACAACTGTGCAAAATAACAAAAGGTTCCTGAATCCCATCTCTTCTCAAACCTAGTTTGCTAATCGGTCCCTTGACTTCAGTTTTATCAATTAGATATTTTCCATTCTTAAACCCTAAATTCCAGTACAGTAGCATCCTCAGGAAACTGGAGCCAAGAAACAGAAAACAGAACTTCATGTGCCCCAGGTGTACTCTGTTTAATAAACCCCTAGAGCTGTATAAACAGTTCAATTGGTGACCAGTTAATTATGCACGCTGAATTATACAGCCCAACGATGTGCCCAGCATTCTAGGCACATAATCACTGAAACAAAATACTTATTCGTTTAAGAGACTTCTGGAAACCATTTGGTAAGGGTTAGTGCTGAAATCTAACCCTTTTTGAAAATCTAAAAACCATCCCCCTTTTGAAAGTCATCTGAACAAGTCAACAGGTTAATTCAAATGTTGCACCAGGAGTTTAAAGCTGAAAAACAAGACGGACAAACTGAGAAACAACGCATGTAGCAGAAAGCATTAGAAGGGCGCGGGCACATGTCACGCCACAGCACCGCCAGTGGCAGGAGAAAGCAAGGCAGGGCAACTGGACACGACGGCAAAGAAACCAGAAACAACCAAACAAACATCAAAACGAAAAGCAAGAGAAAGCACCAAGTGCCCGCCATTAACAGATCCAACACATCCCCCCACAAGACAAGCAACGTCCGAGACAAAAACCGCGACACATTTACCCACTCCGAGAGGCCCATACCCAAGCCGATCACCCACAGAGGGAGAAACCCAGTCAGGGGTGGACGACTTTTCCAAGGCCTGGGCGGAACCAGTACCACCAACCCAGCTGGGGCTCATATTTGGAGCAGAGCGTAGAAATAAAAAGAAGGACTTGAGAAATGGAACAGCAATCAGGATTCAAAAAAAGATAAAGAAATCGCCCCCAGCCCTGGGCCAGATCCGGGCAGGAAAGGCAGGGCGTTTTTTCCTCCCACTTTGTCTCCTCTCCCTGTGCTGCCTAGAGTGTCCACTGGCATCCCACGTCCTCGACGCAGCATGGAGATGGGTCAAGCAGGCAACCCGCACGCTGAGAAGGAAAGGATCCTCTATTTTTCATCTCTGGCTCTGCTCTGAATAACATGGTTAATTATTCGCTTGCTTGGTGCAGATTTATGTGCCGTCTCTACTCACTGAATACTGGAAGCCCCCTATAAAACCAGCTGAGACAACTCCAGGACTACGGCCACAGGCCACCTCCCCTGTCTGCCACAGAGCCAGCGTTGCCACTAAGGATTCACAGATTCCATTTGAGAATTTGCTTTGTTTTCTTTCAGAACAAGGTCTGTTTGTATTGTTTCTAGATTGTAGTGTTAGCCACCGGAACCTGTGCATCTCTCCACCCTAGTGAGGAGGTTGATGAAACTTCGTTCCACTTCATGGTTCAAGCAACGCACACGGCAGAGCTGCAGTAGCTAGGAGTCACAGACAGGGGGCAGCAATGGTTCTGCCTGCTCTACAGCAGTCAAGCAGTCGCCAGAGAAAGCAGAGAAAGCGAAGGGGCAATGTGAGTATATACAGTACGTACTGGAAAGATCCCCTCTCTAACTGGGAGCATGCAGGACACATTCCTGGGACTACAGCATCGATGGTGTGCCAACAGAATCTTAGTCTGGGTGTACATACATTCCACAAGGGGGGAGTGAGGGCTGGGCCGTCGTCTCGCACGCACACACACGTACACACACACATAAACCACACGGCCAGATTACGTGAACTTGACCCCAATCAGAACGAGGATAAGGACAACGACAAGGACGAAGAGGATTAAAATGACAAGCATCTTGCGGTTCTTCTTTTGGTACTGCTCGGCCTGGAAAGAGAGGAAACAACAAAAGGGATCTTATTTGGGTAAAAAACAACAACTTTTGAATCCCCGTTGCTTAAAAATTAAGACAGTTCACTGCAATGTTTTGTTGCCCCAAACAGCTCTTTATTGATTAATTAGCCATTAAATTAATTAAGGAATTTATTTTTACCCAAGAGCTTCTGTGGAATGGATCAGGATTTGGAAATCATTTCAATGACTTGGAAACCCAGTGTCCCAGATATTTATTTGCCAACCCACTAAATCAGTTTTCGCCTCCTTCCATTTTCATGACTTTACCTTCTGGAGTTGTTTTAATCCCTCGTCTGTTTTGACACACGCTTGTTCCACGTTGAAGTCGATCCTGTCCAGCACCGTACCCTGCAGAGAGAGGAGATTCAGCACCAGAGTCTGCACCTGGCCCTACAGCACGGCCTTGTGACATTTCACTAACACAGACTAACACAGGCACGGGTTTGTTTAAAGTAAAAAGTGAAAGTTTTAAGGCGTGACAGACCTTTAAGAAACAGCTGAATGAGAACCTTGGATTGTAAAACGACTTGTAATCCAACAAGCAAGTCAAATAGCCTGGCTCATGGCCTTATGGCCTTATGCACAATAAACTATTCAATAATCTAACACTTTTATCTAGGTGAACAAAGTCTGCAGCGTTAATATTAACCGAAGCTACGTACTCATATGATGTTGCCTAGAATCATAGACACACTCTGGATTAACTTCAAATAGGCAAAACCTCTAAACACAACAGTTAAGATTGTTTCAGTTCTGTCCCAGGGTTCTGACAGGGCCTTCAAGGGAGCTGACCTGCTCCACCACCATCCCAGCCAGATCCCGGAAGATCTCGTTGAGGTCGGAGATCGACTGGATGATCTGCCGGATCTCCCTCTCCCTCTCCTCCACCAGGATGGTGTTCTGTTCGACCAGGGCCAGCTGGTCATCCGTGAAGCCCTGGGAAGAGGGACAGGAGACAGAGTGAGAGCGGGGAGAGGGAGGACAGTGGACAGCCACATGGAATCACAGCCGGGTAAGACTGGGGGTTACAGAGGAGGAGAAAGAGAAGCTCTCTGAGGAGAAGGAGCCAGATCAAATAGTGTTTTATGTGCATAGCCACACAACGCGACTGTCTGGTTATCACAGGCCAGACTGCATAACTTTGAGGTGCTTATAAAGTTATGAGGCCTGCTTAAGACGACTGAATCATGCAAACCTTAAATCGCAGGGCAAGTATCTGGTTCACATTCAAGAACGGGAAGATGAGAAGCACAATCCCATATATGATGGTGGGCCCCAGAGGGCTTCACTTTTCCAGGTGTGCTAAAGGCGTTGTGCCTGCATGCCCTCTGGTGCACAAATTCTGTTGACTCCACCCGCACGGGTATCACTGTGCAGTCAGCGAGACAGGGCGGCAAACCTTTCCCAAGCACATTACACATAAAGGACGTCTCCAGGCAAGATTCAAACGTCACTGAAGGCTCACCCGGTCATACAGCGTGTTGTCGTCGTCATCTTCCACAAGCGGACCCGACGTGTCGAAGAAGTGCTTGGACCTCTCCTCCCGGTTCTTCATTCCTGGAGACACCACAAACTCACTCAGCACAGTTTCTGGGCTTACTCCTGGCAAGGGTCACGATAAACCCAAGCCTTTTCCCCGAAGTACGAGGTGCCGGAGGGGACTTCCCCCAGGACGGGACACCAGCACATCGCAGGACAGAGACTTTGATCTCCTAGTGACGACAATTAAGCAAGCTTGCAGTATTTTGGGATGTGGGAGGAAACATGGAGCATCTGCTGAAGCCCCGTGCAAACAGGAAAAGATGCAGGAAAAGATGCAGGAAACATACAGAAGACACCGCTGCCTGAAATCGCACCCCGGACCAAAGGAACTTTGAGACAGCAGCAGTAATTGCCGCACGAAGAAGAAATAATGAATTTTGTTCATCACTCCCATTTATTTTTGCTGATCTCTGCATAGGAACAGGGATGGCAGATACAAGGGCTGTCTGTGAGAATGTGCGAGAGAGTATACAGAGGCAGAGACTATATTATAGAAAAAAAGCGTCATTAAAAATCTGTAGTCATTAAAAATCTCAGGATGTTTCTCAAAAAGAGTAAGGGTTTTAACCCCAGTATCTTGGCTCAATTTCCCCTCTGGCCTTTCCCATCATGTTCTCCTAATAATCCCCATCTATGAACTGGTTTCATCACTCTGGTGATAGCTAATAGCTGGTGTGTGAGGAGCGTACTGATGCCATCTGGCTGCCATCCCATCATCCAGGTGGGGGCTACACATTAGTGCTATCAGTGGGATGTAAAGCGCTTTGAGTAGAATGTCCAGAAAAGCACTATGTATGTGCAATTACAATTATCAATATTATTATTATTATAATAATAAGGCAAGTGCAGGACCCACGGTTTTGCAAGCTGAACCACAGAAACCACTGGTGACAGAGAAACAGAATATAGTGCTGACGAATGGAAGAGCGAGACCAGGCTGGACCGGGCCCAGGGGACCGCGTCGCTCACGTTTGAGGTAGCTGGACTGCGTGTGGCGGAAGCCGGTGGAGAGGTCCTGCAGGCTCTGCGCCAGCGAGGAGACGACGTTCTTCAGCAGCCGCTCCTCCTGCTCCGTGCAGTGCCCGCGCCGCCGCTGCAGAGCTGCCACCGCGCGCTGGCACCGGTGGAACATCTGCGGGGCAAGAGGGGAGCAGCCAAGGGAAGGGAAGACCATGAGGGTTTACCCAGCTGCAGGCTCCATCGCCCTGCCTCCCCTGCGCAGTCTGCGTGGACAATAGGGCCCACAGGGTGGAGGGCTCTTCAGGCCAGGGTTCATGCTGGTTTGAGAGCTGAACAGACTAAAAAGTCCACGACCTCCCCTTCCTGGACAGGACACTGGTCCATCACAGGGTTACCCTCCCAGCAACGCCGGCACCCCTCCTACAGAGGAAAGGAGTGCTGGGACCTCTGCTCCCAATTCTTCACTCGTAGAGATGCCACAGACACGCTCAGCCCAGCACGGAGCGCAAGAAAACAACAGCGGCAGCAGAGTCTACAAAAAAATCGTAGTATCCACCCTTCCAGTATCAGAAAGCCACCGATTCCTGGTAATTCAGTTTCAAGGCCATTAGAGTTTGAGCAAATTAGAAAGGTGTATAGTAATGGGCCTGCCTCACTGTTATTTAAAGTACATATTTTGATCATAGTATGAAAAGTAAACCGTATGTACAATTACCAACCATTCCTGTTTAATGAAGCCTGACGCCCGAGTGATCTCCCCAAGATCTCAGCCGAAGTGATCCTCTGCTTGCCTGTCTACATACTGCACGGCGATGCTCACCTGCGTGATCTCCTGCGTGGTGATTTCAATGGCGTGCTCCTCCTCGCAGCTGTCGTCCAGCGTGGGCCGGTTCATGTGCTTGTCGTGCAGGCTGGCCAGCTCCTTCATCTTCTGCCGGATGCGAGTGATGTCATACTGGATCTGTGGGTACCAGCAACGCCCAGTATGGGTAAAGCAACATGTCAGGAGATGGCAGGGGTACCTTCACTGTTCACTGCGGCATGAGTCACCAGAAAAGCACGTTCTTATACAGCTGTGGTTTGCAAAACTTTTTGTTCCAATAGCAAAAAAATATTTTTAATTTTTTCTTTACGCCATTGAAAGTGTTCACATGTGAAAATTTCACCAAGATGTGCTACAGGCTTGACAGGCTTGAAAGGCCTGGGAAAGGTGGCGATTGCAAACAATTGCACAAGTTGTTTTAGTTAAAAACTAATTAGCGTTGCTAAACAAAAGAAAAATTAGGACCAGATTTTGGGCACGCCCAGCCGAAGAGTCTGATTCGATCCTGAAGAAGCCCCCCGAGTTCTTGTGGGTTTTTTTCCCCCCAAGTCGTTCTCACCTCATCCACTCCATCCACCCACTTGGGGGGCAACCTCTTGGTGACCCCAATGGCGGCCTCTGGGTCCAGACTGATGCCCGACACCAGCGCCATTCGGTCATCGGCGAGCTGGGACACAAACAGGGAGAGAGCGGAGCTCAGCGGGAGACAGGGAGAAGGAAGTATGCATCAAGTGGCGTATCTCAATAACCTGCCATCCGCCCATTACCAGCACCACCACTTATTCCTGTAAAGGGCTGCAAAACACAAAATCAATCGGGTCTTTTCTGTGTGTGTCTTGTACATATGGGCACATGGAGCACATTGTGAAAGGGATGCCAGCTTATCACGGGTTCCTTCATTTACGGGTTTACAAGATGGAACAAAAAAAACTTTCCTGAAGACGCCGAGTGTGGAACCAAAGGAGGAGAAAAGGGTGATTCGACAGTACCTCATCCAGCTCCTGAGGTGATTGGCAGATCCCAGCAGAGCCCCATCCAATGAGAAGAGCAAGAGGCAAGAAGGACAGCAGAGTGAGAGCGGGCTGCGCTGCATCGATCTGTCACCATCGCGACGCGCGGCGTGCACATCCCAGCATCCCCCACACCCCCAGCGCGAAGCCGCCATCCTCATCAGCAGAGCACGAAGCGGGCGGCTGAGGAATCCAGCCCTCCTTCGACAGCGCCCCTCCGAAGCTCTGCGCCCACCCTCTCCTCCCTCTCTAACACACAGCGCACGTGGGCAGGGAAGAGCTGTCTGGGTCAGCGTGCACATGCGTGGACAGAGAACAAGTCACTGCAAAGCTGGTTTTGCCAGCTATTCTTTTGCAGGACCGTAAATGGTACAAGAAAACGCCTTTAGGGGTGGACTTCTGGTAGCACAGAATCAGCATTTTGGACCTTGTTTTTTTTTTTTGCAATTTGGCTTGGGGTACAGGCGTGGTCTCCAGACATCATAGCACTGTCTCAGACAGCCCTGTACCGAAGCTCAGTGGGCACAGACATGCAGAGAAAGAGAGAGAGAGAGAGAGAGCAAAGGTGACGTAGACAGGCAGGCACCAGGGGATGGGGTAGAGGGGAGAAGTTAATAATTAATGACTTAATTTGTTCGGCAGCCTCCAGTGGAAAGTCTTTCTCTCTCCCAGGTCTCCTGACCTCCAGTACCCAGTGAATCAGGAAAAGGGTGAAGGGGATTGTGAAAAGTACGCAGCAGACTTAAACTAGAGCGAGGGTTTTTTTTTGTGAACTACATGGATTAACAAAGTAGACAGTAAAGGACAGTATTAAACAAATCCTATCTGGAAGGCATCTACCAATGCTACCCAGCAGAAACATTCATTAACTCTCTTGACTGCTCAGTGAATGAGTGCAACTCAGGCGATTCTGAGTTTCATGTTTTCTAGGTCTCTTTCAGCACCAGGCCCTAAACAGCTGGGAGAACCTGTTCAACGGGTCCAGTCAAGCCAAGAATTCAGGCTGATTCAGGTTGTAGGAGTCAGACTAGAAACGTGAAGGCACTCCAGGACCAGAGTTTGAGGATCACTGCTTTAGGTCAAACATCACTCTGTTTATTCTGCTTATATTGGTGGAGCCTGTTTCAATGACAGAAGGTTTTCAAAGCATGTCAATCAAACTCCAAAAACCAGATGCTGCCTCTGTCAGGCCTTTATCGGCAAATAATCCAGAAATAAGGCCAAGATCGACAAGAGAATCAGCCTCCCTCACAACGACAATAAAATTGACTTCCCCCTTCAACACAATCACTGTCTTTCTGGTTGAGTCTACACCATTACATGAATATTCCTGCTATCAGTCATTCAAAGAGGTCAACAACAATTTCATCTTCATCGCTGTACGTGCTGTACAGAAGTGGGAAAAATGTCCATGAGAAAGGAAACTCAATTAATCTCAGGAAGGAGCCATTAAGAGCTCGGCTTTAGGAAAGCAGGTCAGAATGGAAATAACAGGAGGGCAAGCATGTGTCGGCCTGTGCCTTTGTATTAAATTCAGGCACGATGAGAAAGCAGACTGCACAGATAGGGTCTGCCTGTGGCCTCCCACCTCATTACTGATGAGAGGCCTGGACGCCACAGAACAGACACAAGCAGCCTCCCTCGGAGCAACAGCGAGAACGGCCTGTCAGTCTGACTCACTACCATGCTACAATACCGCAGGACCCATTTATGCAGCTGACATCAAAACGGGAACTACAGAGAGTGTGGTCACATTTTATAGTCATCCTCTGCTCAGCATGTTTTTGGCTCTAATTTAGAAAAGCTGACCTTGCCATTCGAGAAGGCTCACTAAGTTACTTAGCTCTCCCCCCCCCCACCCCAATTGGTGCTCTGAGCTCCTCAGCACATTGTGGGAATGCGCGGTCGACTTTCACAATAAAGCACACTGTGGCGAAGTCAGCTGGTGAAACTGCCCGACCAAAGACCTTGACCCCGCTCTGCGAAGAGTTGCAGGAGGGGAAGGCGAATGGAGGAGCTGCTCAGCATGCATCCTTATGAATTCCATTATGGAGCAGAAGACACGGCATTTCAAATGCCTGTTGGTTCAGACAGATGGCCGAGAACGAGCACAGGCAGGTCCCTTAAGCCCACAGCACACGATCTGGACCACAGCTCTGTGAACATTGAGACCCGCGACAGCAAATTAAAGAAATTAAAAGAGCTGCCGATATTTTCTTGTTTGGGGACCTGCTTTGTAGACAAAACAGCACTGCAGGAGAGGCTGTGCCCCATGCGAGGAGACCAAACCAATATCACAGGCCCAGAACGGGGAGGGAAGGAGAATGGACAGAGGACAGAATCTGTACTCCGCGCACGGATACGGGAGGCAACAGCATCAGAGCACAAGACGATAAACAAGTCTTTCATCAGTCTCTCTCACTGTCGAGGAGCACAAAACTGTCGGAGTAGAGAGGCAAAGCAATGGGAGACAGACACTGTGTGCCATCCAGCAGCAGGGAGCTGCTGGCAGAGCAGACCACCACAATACAAGCACAAAGGGGCATCGTATCACGCCAGCAATCAAGGGCACAGTGCAGGCCAAGCCAGGCATGCACAGAGCTCACTGTGTAGCACACTGTGCAAGAAACACAACACCAGTCCAGGCAACATGCAGCACAGGCAAGGAAACCAACAACCCAGGCAACATCACAAGAAGCATCGCAGGACTGCACAGGGTACAGTGTACGATAGGTTCATCTCCTGTCAACTTCAGACTTTTGACTGCAAAGCCGAAGTGTATAAACCCAAACACCTTACACATTACCGCCTTCTCTGAGTAGCAGTTTTGATCCAGTCATGTGCTGAACCACTTACTGACATTTTATTACCGACAGCTGTTTAAGAGCTACACTAACACCTGCTCTTCCGTCAGGAAACTTGTGATCTCCCGGGATCTGCACTTCCCCGCTTCACGGCACTAAACGTCTCCAAGGAGACGGGACTGAGGAAGTAGCACGACTTTCCCTATATTCAGGATACCCCAAAAGGCGCCGGACTTCATTCGCCGGGGCCACGACGGGCCTACACGTCGACAGGTTGAAGGGAGCGCCGGGGCAGGTCTGCATTACGGCCTCGTTTAGCGAGGGACACCACAAACCTGGAGGCCAGGGGACAGTATAGTGCCGTATAGTCTGTCCAGGGGTTCAGCTTCACGGTGGACTGCAGCCTTTTGCAAAACGGCTGCGCTACAGAGGCTGCCGAGCGTCACTAGACAGAACCCCCGGTTTCGGGGTGAAAACATGCAGACGAGAGACGGGTGTTAATCGCCAGCCTGAAGGAGGCCCCAACACACACACACACTTGCAAACACGTGCAACGTACTGTACGGCGCTTACGTTAGCAATGGTTACCAGCCGCAGGGGCCGAGGCGTAAAAAGCCAACACACACTTAACACGCAACAAGATCCGCGCCCTCATGCCCGTTCTTTCACATGCATCCCCCACGACACGTAAAAAAATAAAATGTCAAAATAAAGAAGCCGCCACACACGGGGGAAACAAAAACAAACTCAAATGTCAAACGGTCAGGATGAGGAGACTCACCGCAGCATTGCTACGCGTGTTCAAATGACGGGGGTCGAAAGTACTCACTTGCTCAGCCAATATTTGTCGGTTTTGGATGGCATTGTTCCGCATTAGCAAAAAGGCATCAGTCAGACGCCTGGTTGCCATGGCTCCGCGCACAGTAATTAAAACCTGCGAGCCGAAAAGCACAGGCAGCCGCGGAGCAGGAGGCTGGCTCAGATACTGTAGGAGCTAACCCCCGAGACGGGCTTGCCGGAAAGCCGACACGGACAGGAGAACAGCCCCCTCCAGCCTCGCCGAGGACAACTGGGAGGCCGTCTCTAGACTGCCATGATTCCCCCCTCCCCTCCCCAGCTCAATACGGGGGAGGCCGAGCCAAGCAGCGAGGATATGAAATGCTGCGGTCTAGTCGGAGAGCATCGCGGGCGCTAACTCTAACACACGCAGAACGAAACGTCAACACCACTAGTGCGCAAACCACTCCACTTCCGGTCTCTGTCCCCGTCTCCTCCGCTGCGGGCATCCGCAGGAAACAGGCACGGCACAGTCCAGGTTTATGTGCCACAACCGATTTTTTCTTCGCCTCGGTAATTCTCGGAGGAGGTTTCGTCTGTTTCCGCCACACTGAGGGCCATACCGTATAGTAACTGTAGTAGACACAAGCGCAGGGTGTGTGACCTGTCCTGTCCGTAGCATGAAAGCAGTGCACTGCAGAGCAATGCATCCTCACACTTATATAGCGCTTTTCTGGACACTCCACTCAAAGCGCTTTACAGGCAATGGGGAATCCCACTACCACCACCAGTGTGCAGCCCCTCCTGGCTGGTGCCGATGGAAGATTTGGACAGGACAACCTGGGATTTTTAATGACCACAGACAGTCAGAACCTCGGTTTTATATCTCATCTGAAGGAAAGTTTCTTACAGTATAGTGTCCCCATCACTGTACTGGGGCATCAGGACCCACACACACTGCAGGGTGAGCACCCCCTGCTGGCCCCACTAACACCTCTTCCAGCAGTTTCCCCAGGAGGTCTCCCATCCAGGTACTGACCAGGTTCACACCTGCTGAGCTTCAGTGGGCTGCCAGCTGGAAGTTGCAGGGTAAACAGGCTGCTAGCAAAACAGTTTGGCATGTAAAATGAGTATCTGGGCTTACATCAGAAGCAGTCTTTAGGGTTCAGGATTCGTACCAGGGAGGCTGTGGGTTCGAATCCACGCTGAGAGATGGCTGTTGTACCCGTGAGTAAGGTCCTTCACACGTGAGCTGCTCCAGGAAAAACACCTGGAGTGGCTGTGGACAAAACCCCATTTTAAACAGCACCCCCTGGAAGGATTAAATTATGTATTCCTAGATTAACTAAATCATAAAAATGTTCGATTATCTATGTGAGAAAATGTCACGTTACACTATCAATAGCAAAAAAAATAAATAAATAAAGCTGAACGCTACAGGTGAAAGGGAAACCATATTGAATTTTGAATGCGTCCTTGGAACAACAACAGAAGCTGTGTCGAGGCTCATAAAGCAGCTCTCCAAAAAGTTTCCAAGTACTGGAGACAGCAATCAACCGACAGAGCGCCATCTAGTGGCGTGGATGTCCGTTATTCCTACATTACACATGTCGGACGCTAGAGGGCGGAGAAGATCTACTTTTCTAAAATGTATTGAACAACGCGCCCGGCTAACGCCGTCTCTGCCTTTCAAACATAACGATGAAGGAAGAAATGTGCAATCACCGATGATCGCCCAGTTCTTCAGGAATTAAACCCTTCGCACACAATGTTGATGTTTACCGACACCTGTGTAAATCTTTGGGACAGTGTTTATACTTTCTAGTACTCATCACACAATTACCTTTAGATACACCTATTGAACAAACAAGTTCTTTTGTTTTTGAATGCCTTTTTTTAAAGTCGGTTGCAGCGTTGGCTTGAAATAAATTGATGCGTGTTTGAGGATCTTTGAAGGAATCGCAGAAGACAGCCGCAATAAAACTGGAAAGTGATGCGCGGAGGAATGCAAATTGCAGAATTGATTTAGCGCGGTTCTTCGTGGGTCTTTTCAACGCCGTGATCTGGACAGTGTGATGAATGAAGCAAACATCGTGGGGGGGATTCTGTTCAATATTGTGTGAGCGTTGTGGTTAAAACGGGTCTCGGCTGCAAGGGATGTCATGGGATTAAAGAT